CCCCCCCCCCCCCCCCCCGCCTCATTAGCCGATCATGCGTAAGGAGACCTGTTCTATTTTTACTCCTGCCCAGTCCCTACACACCAGTGCTGCACTGTGTGTGTGTGTGTGTGTGTGTGTGTGTGTGTGTGTGTGTGTGTGTGTGTGTGTGTGTGTGTGTGTCCTCTCTTATTGAAGGTGGCAGGGCAGAAAAGAGAAAGCCAAAGAACTGGTAAGATGGTCAGAAAGTAAAATGCAGGCGACATAATGAATAATAAAGTTAGAGGGAAAGAGATGTAGTGTGAGCAAAACATACCGAGAAAGACTGAATCAAAAGCACAACGGATGACAATGACTTAATGTTGTATAAATCATGTTTAACCCTCAGCCTGAAGCTGCATGTGTAGAGACACCGGACCAAAACAGACTGTGCACGTGGGTAGACGCTCTGAGTGGCCAGGTTTGCACACTCTGACCTCAACATCGCCTCAAGACCAATGTCATGGTCATCTAGTGTTATAAGCAAATTAGTGTCATGCTGAATAACTATGTCTGTTGCTGTAATAGGGTGTGTGTGGACAGCACTGCCAGAGAAATTTGGGTTGAAGAGTGTGTGTGTTGACCACAGCTGCGGGTAAAACCAATGACTCAGATATTAAGAATTGAGTAATTTCCCCTTTTTCTTTGTGTGTGTGTGTGTGTGTGTGTGTGTGTGTGTGTGTGTGTGGATGTGAAACTCCTTGTAACAGCTGTTAACCCAGATGAAACTCATCGTGTGACATAATGACATCCTCAGCTCTGTTTTTGTGTTTTTCTTTGAGCCTTGGAAGACTGCAATCTAAGATCTAATGTTTCAAACAGCCATGAGCTCATGTGCTGAAAGCTGTGAGCCAAGAATCAGAATCAGATAACTTATATAACCCTAATATATTTCATTTGTGTTTTACATTCCATACATGACATGAATTAAGGATCCAATAGCTTTTTTATTTCCAGAGATATTTTCTCTGTCTTCCTCCCACTGTGAAGGGAAAAACCATCAGATCGCGTGACTCATTTATAAAAAATACTCCAGACTAAAATTCAAGTTGCGTGCCATGAAAGATTTATGTTTGTGCCAAATTCAGTGGGGCGGTGTGATTTTTCTCCAGCTCTCTGTGATGAAAACAAAATACTATTGTTCTTCCATGTATGAATACCAAAGAATATAATTTAATACTTTTTCAAAAATGTTGGCTTATCCTTTAATCTTCAAGAAATAAGCCTTTAATAAAATCTGTGTGTCATATTCATAATGAAAATAGTTTCTTGGAATAGTTTTGTCACTGTTGTCACAAAATTGGTGTGTTTATGCAGTTTTTTAAATGTGGGACAGAGACGAAGAGTTTCTTGTCGTGGTACGTCTGTGTTGCGTTGCGTCTGAAAGGGGGCAACCAGTAGTCTTCATTTAGGGCCATCAGTGGACTAGTTTCCCACATGTTGACGGTTGATTATTAAATGATATATTTTGGTGGTTTGAGTTGAAGGTGTGAGAAAGAATAGTATCAGTAACATTGTTAACACTGTGCTACATTACAGAGAAATACAAACCGTACTAATGAACCTTCATTAATATAGGCCTATATTTTATCTCCAAGTGCACGTCACACACTGAGCGAGCCGCCTGTTAATGACGCTGTGGGCTAATGGGCATGTAGCTACTTCCATGTTTCATATGATACGTCATGTTTGTAGTCGACCAATGAAGATGAGTTTACATATCACCTTGGGTTCGTCCTTCACCTTCTCAAAATGATCCCACACTTTGGATTTCCTGCCCGACATGTTATTAACTAGCCTGTGGAATAACCGCAGGCACCAGCCCTGGAGATTAACCTGACTCCTGTCTGACTGCTGAGCGTGGACACTTCCTGTGTCTGTCCTTTCAAAGTAAAGTCACACATGCTCCAGTCATATAGGTTTGGATTTATTTCGACAAGGTGCAGCTCCTGATAGAGTTTCCTTTTTCTCTTTCCTGTGACTAAGCGACCAGAGAAATCTTGCTGACTAATGACCTCTCTGGTCGACCAACATGTGGTCGACTATCAGCAGGCAGCCCTACATTTGTGTGTCCACCCGCATGCCATATTTCCATCACTGTTAATCGGAGCCGATCGGAGCTGGAGCTGATAAATAGCCATGACGACTGCAGAGTCATTAGTCCTGGAAGTGATTGCCAACTCTAACCTTTCCCATTAAACAAAAGCCAGATGATAGTGGGCATTGTTGGGGTTTTTGTAAAGTGGGAAAAGGGCTTATTTGATTCCTCGGATTTAAATCTAACGCTCTTCCATTGCTCTCCTTCCTCGCTCTGCAGGTTGACGTGTTACCATGACAACAGAAGCGGGCTCTGAGACAGAGGTGAAGGAGAAAGCAGAGGAGTCAGCCGCTCAGCCAGAGCAGTCGGAGAAGCCCGCAGAAGAAACCAAGGAAGTAACCAACGCTGAGGGAGAGGAGAAGAAGGAAGAGAAGGAGAAAGAGGGGAAAGAGGGGAAGGGAATAGCTCGCTACCTGCCAACATGGCTTAAGAAGCAGAAGTCTCAGAGCCAGGTAAAATTCTTATTATAGGCTCACTAGATTGTCATTGCTGATAATTATTTTGGTCGGGTTTTTAATGGCCATCGTTTCTTTCCTTGATCCACAAAGACCTCCCCAACTAAGGAGGTCCCACCCGCAGAGGAAGCTGTTAGCAAGGTGACACAGGAAGAGGACGGGCCTGCCCCAGAGGTGAACGGTCACGCAGAGGAAGTAGAAGAGAAGGAGGCAGTCAAGTCGGAGGAAGTCAAGGAAAAAGAAGCTGAGTCTCAATCCACCACCAGTGCAGACACTGAGGTATTGGTCACACACAGCGTAACTTCTCTCCACACCCCATTGGTACACATACTGGAAGATAAAGTAGACAGTGGGTCTGCCATTAGTCTGCTTGTATATTCACGTGCAGGTTCACAAATGATGATGATGTCAGTTTGTTTGAGGTGTGAACCTTCTTTATGTATTCTCTTATTAAACAAAGGCAAGGTAGCTCTATTAGTTCAGCACATTTCTTGCACCAGGGCGAGTCAGTGTGCTTTACAGGGTTAAAAAATTACAGCAAAGGCAAAAGTTTTACAATTGTAAAGGGCAAAAATACAGGCAAGTGATACAAGAGATACACAATTTGAAAGTGAACAAAGGACATAACATAAAAACATAAAAGAACACAGCAAATACTCCTGTATTTATATGCACAATTATAACACTCAGTATTTAAATGAAGGCAATTTAAAAGCTAAACTAAGATGATATTTAAGCCAGTACTAGGTACAGTAGGCAGTGTGAAACGGGAACATTGTTAGTTTTGACTTAAGAGTGGTCAGAGTCGGGGCTCGTCAAATAACATCTGTCCTGGGTTATTCCAGGTCTGTGTTGCATAATAACAAATATGCTTTGGTATGAATTATAAGATTATAAGGAGAGAGACGAACAAGAGCAAGATAACGTGTGTAAGCATGAGAACTTCAGTTAACTGTGGCTACTGACGAAGGATTTTTAAATATACAGGTAGTATCAGGTGGTGGCCGGACAAAGATAGTATGTACTGCTGATTGCTAAAAGGTGCTTGGTTACATCAGCATATGTTGTTATTGTTGGGGGTGAGACAGAGAGTAAGGAAGAAAAACAAAGCACAAGCTGCGCTGAGTTAAAGTCAGTTACAGCCAAAATAGCCTGTAATCGTGTATATAGTCATGTTCTTATTAATTTTTTATGCCAAGTAATATGTTTTTCTTGCAGCCCAGTAGCATATGTTTTAGGGTGCTGTCACACCTGCCCTGTTTGGTTTGGTTCAATCAAACTCAAGTTCGTTTGCCCCCTCAGTGCGGTTCATTTGTGCAGGTGTGAACACAGCAAAACAACCTTACTTAGACCTTCTTGAAGAGGTTGTCTCAGTCCTGTTCCAAAGGAACTCTGGTGCGGTTGGTTTGTGGTGAGAAGGTGTTGCGACCTGGATGTGAAGCAACTGCAGTCACATGACACATTGTTTGGGTTAAACATGAGCATGTTACAGTCCTGGAGGATTATTAATGTGCACCTCCTCCTGTACTGCCTTAATATGCACATTCAGCACATCCAATGCATCAAAACATTGTTTTCTAGTTGGAGCCGCGCCTCGTTTTCAAACTGTATGTTTTGACTAAAATGAACAATGACAGCAATATAGTCCACGATGAGCAGCGCTAAAATCAACCTGCGTAGTTGTCCCTCCATTGTGACATTAGAAAGTGTCACATTTATCTTGCAAGTGTACTCTTCTTCAACGTTTGCTTTACTTCCTGGATTTTTCCCACATGGAAATTCTGACCAATCAAGAGCAGCTTTCTCACACAAGGCATTTGATCTGGTCCTCTTGTAAATGCTGCCGTGAGAACACGAACCAACTCTAGGCAATTATACAACTTTGGAACAACATGAGTCCCTGATTCAGACCAGAGGAGACCACTCTAGGGCTGACAGCAGCCTTAAGGTTAGGTAACGCTCTGCGGACCAGGGTTTAGGAACCTCTGAACTTAGGGTTTTCACAACCTGGTGCTTACAAGACTCGATATATAAATACTAGGAAATTGCCAACCCCTTAAAGCTGTAGCATTTTTGGAATGCATCTTTATGCGCTTTCTTGCTGAGATTTAGATGTGAAGTTTGATAACCATTCTCATATGTCTGCTAGATATGAAGCTGTTATCTGAGCTTAGCCTGAAGACTGGAAGCAGGGAAACAGCCAGCCTGGCTCCGTCCAAATGTAACAGTTCTCACCTACCAGCACCTGTAAAGCTCACTTATTTACATGTTATACGTTGTTAGTTTAATTAGTACAAAAAACTAAGTGGCAACTTTCAGGGTTGCCATAAACTGCAGTTCCTCTAATGGCCACTTGAGGTTGTCTTTGGAAGCAGTTCAGTCCCCATAGACCCACATGTTACAACGCTCAGATTAACAGCAGATATAAACATGTTATCAGCCTGCTACAAAAATCAGTTTTGGTCTCAGCAGCTAATTCGCCCAAAAATGACAACTGTACAGGAGGTGAATCTTTATACAACTCACCTGTTTACATTTTATCAAGGCTTAAATTTGGGCGTAATTGTGGGTGCGGCCGTTTTTTTGCGGCCACGGTTTCTCTGTCAGATCCACCTCTCGCTCCTCGACAGCTCCACCCACTTGTTTACTTTTGGTCACTCCTGGCTTCAAAAATCCAAGATGGCGATGACCACAGTGCCGAACAGGAGTCCACCAACCAATTGTTGGCATCACGGTGGCTACATCTATTATTTTTGTGCACTCTATGACAGAGTGTTAAAACAACAGCTTGTGGTTTTAAGGGAGGTCAGTGCTGGACTATTTCTTGGCTGTGCACGGTTACTTCCTGAAGTGAGTAAACATGAATGTAGCATCGACCTACTCATCTGACTCTCCGCAAGAAAGGGCAATAAGAGAATGTCCCAGAATGCAAACTGTTTCTTAAACATCATCATTTAAATTGGAAGAGAAGCATCACTGCCAGTTAAAGCATCCTGCAGTAGTTTGGATCAAGATACTGCTCTTTAAAAGACTTTGTTTTGTTGTTTACTCTGATTAAACAACAGGCAAAACTTGTCAACAACCAGCCTTGTCTTCTTACAGTGAGCTGGTGAAAAGTGTTTTGCCTAAACAAATGTCCAAATGTGTGAGTCAGCCACATACTGTTTTGGACACACGTACTTCACAACTCATGTTTGCAACAAACCGGAAACTGAGGGATGAGAGGTGAGATAATCAGATAGCATCTTTCACAATGCTCAAATATTGTAAAGGCACAGTGACGCGATTCACAGCGGTGCACGCAGACTGCTTAAAAACTGCTGCTCAGCCCAGAGGCAGAGAGAGACACACACACACACACACACACACACACACACACTATTCTCCCTCATACACATGCACACACATAAACTGTTCCATCCAGTGATCACATTAAGCCACCCAGGCCCACCCAGTGACATCAACATTTCAGTAATCAGGCCAGAAGAAACGCCTGCAGTTTCTAAGAGCAAATTCAGACTAGAGGGGGAATACAAAAGGACAGAGAGAACACAGTCTTCTCTCTTTCTTACTTTGGACAGTCAGATTTTAGGAGATTTCCTTCGCTGCTGTACACGTAATGACTTTTTCAACAGCATCATAAGGTTTTACCTGACGGCCACAGCAGGGATCCCTGTGTGTATCTGTGGTTTGACATATTTTTCCTCCTTCTTCTGTTGCACCTCTCAAATGTCCTCAGCCTGCCAAAGAGGAGAAAGTGGAAGAGACTGCTGAGAAAAGTCCTGAAGAGGCAACCGTGACAACAGAGGGAGAGGGAGCAGAGGAGCAGAAGAAGGAGCAGGAAGAAAAGGTGGAAGGTGAAGAAGAGGGAGGAGGAGGAGGAGGACAGACCTCGATTTTCCAGTCTCCTCTGCGTCTGGTGAGGAAGAACAAGATGAAGCTGGTGGTGTGTCATGTGACCCTCCTGGACGGGACCGACTTCTCCTGCGAGGTCGAGGTAAGACTTCGACAGAAACTTGAACATGGGTGTGGAGGGGAGACGATGGGCGGAGGGTGAACAATGAGTTCTGTGGAAGTATCTGCAGATGTGTCTCAGATGATATTCAAATTGGATCATTTAAAAGGTCATGGATGCAGCTCATTTGAAAATTACAAGAACATTTATTTTCTTTTTGTGTCTGTGCATTTTGATGACACAATAATGTGGATGGAGATTACGTCTGTTCTGATCACATGGGATCAAACCAGTGTGTTGTGGTTGGTCTGTACAAAATTGCAGAATGTGTTAGAACATGGAGAATGTTTGTAGCTTTCCTCTTGAATGTTTCCCTGGGAAAGTTTTATGGTGCAAGACAAAATAGTCCCTGTGATCATCAGCATGTTTGTACCTGATGTGGCCACTTCAGTGTACAATGACGTTGATGGTAAAATCAACAAGTTGTTGGCGTTTTGAAGGAGGGATGTTTTAAAGGGGAACTTATGTTTTTTTCAACCTGGGCCCTATTTTCCGATCTCCTTTTGTCTAAATGAGTGATAAGATGTTCAATATGTGACATGTCTCCAGTATGAAGCTAGGGCTGACCTGCCTGCAGCCCGTGAGCGCGCGCTATATTAAATAATAGGGCACTCAGACAGCGTCAAACAACGTCAAAATACATCCACTAAAAGTGCATTTTTTTCACACAGATAGGCTCGGATTGTTAGTATAATTATCTGACAACATAACGGAAAGGAGAAATGAACGTGTGTGTTTACCTTTAGCTGGATTCAGACATGTTCCTCTGCCTGTTGCTGCTCCCTCTCTCTCCTCGTCCGCTCTTCAGTTTCAATGAGCTCTGCGTCCGTGTACGTCCGTGTACTCCGTGTTCAAATAAATACGGGCGCTCATCAAATTCAAATGGCTCATCCAGATCCAGTTGGTCAAAATCGGGAAATCAGCAACAGAAAGACAGTTGTGTATAAGACGATTACGATGTGTTGGCGTTGCTCCAACATTGGAAACACATCCAACATGCTAACGCACATTCGACTGTATCATCCAGATGTGCTGATCACTGGGATGATAAATGTTTGGGTGCTTCGAATGTTTAAACAAGCCAAGCCAAGCTGAGGCTAATTAAGACACTTAATGCCCAAGGTTTATTTTTGTATTGTCTATGCATTGTAGGGCTGCAGCTAGTGGTTATTTTCATCGTCGAATAATCTGTTGATTATTTTCTCGATTAACTGATCAGTTGTTTAGTCTGTAAAATGTCAATAAAACGGTGCAGAGTGTTGATCAGTGCTTCCCAAAGCCCAGGACGATGTCCTCAAATGTCTAGTTTTGTTCACAACCCAGAGATATTCAGTTTATTCTCACAGAGGCACAACGAGACCAGAAAGTATTCACATTTAAAAAGCTGGAATTCATAAAGAGTTACTCAGACCAGTTATTCAGTCATCAAATTAGTTGGTGATTGGTTTAATAGTTGACAACTAATGGATTAATAGTTGCAGCTCTGATGTATTTTGTATTTTCAGTTACATGACGTAAGAAATGGTTTTCTGACCTTTTGCCTGGTGCGACCTGTTGCCTTTTGGGAAAGTGTTTGTTCAGTGTTCGTTTTTCATCAAAGTAGCCAGAGGGAAATGTGTTACCTCACATCCCAGTGAGACGCTTTTGTCTCTTTGACAATTTACCAAACTCGCACCAAACCATGACATTTGTGTATCCTTACACCCCTAACTACTAGTCATGTAGGCCACACGTGAGTGCCAGTGTGTCAGTGATGTAATTGCTAATAGGATCAGATCTGGTGTGTGTGTGTGTGTGTGTGTGTGTGTGTGAGTGTCTGTGTGTGTGTGAGTCAGAAAGTTAAATACCCCCCACATTCATGCCCAAAGTGCAGTTATGGCAGAAGCGCCCACTCACATTGTTTGGGGCGTGGTTTAGGGGATAAATGCAGAGCAAAGCAGAGCACGCTACAGGGGCTTGTCTGGTGACCAGAACACACACACACACACACACACACACACACACACAGAAACCTGGCAGATTACGGGGGTCTCACAAGATTAGTTTTCTGCATCTGTTACTCCCAAACAAGCACGTGGCCTGGACCCCTCTACACACACTTAAACATACTCACACATTAAGCGTCACAGCGTCACATGCTCGTGTCACAGGCTCTCTTCAATCAATCTCTTGCTACTGTTTGTTAGCAATAGTTTGAGCTGGGCTGATTTTTGGTTTAATTAATTTGTCATTATGACACAATCTGGCAAATTAAAAAGTAGTTTACATCAGCAACCTGTGCTGACAGTGTCACGGCACTAAATCCAATTTGTATTGCAGTAAGTAATATGACAACGTGATTGATATAACATTATGTTTGTTTATAAATGGACTAATGGAAGCTCCAGTGTCTGACAGGCCGTGTGCAATTTCCTGCAGAGCCGAGGCTGACAACATGAAGGAGATCAAATTTCAGTCGAGATGGAAGGGGGCAAGATGTGCTTGATGCATATTAGAAACTTTTGGGGTGAGGAGATGAGAAGACTCTCAAGACCTTTTCATACCGCCTGTTTAAGGTGTGTATGTCATAGGAGTGGGAATCTCAAGGCACCACGCGATTCAATTTCATTATGATTCAGAGGATAACAATTTGACAATAAAACGACAATAGGCCCGTTTCCACCGCAGGAACTTCGGGGTAATTTTACGGGGCCGGGGTCGTTGGTGTGTGTCTCCACCGCAGGAACCACCCCCGAGGGACAGAGTTCCAGAACTTTTACGGGGGCTAAACAAGTCCCTGCCTCGGGGTAGGTACTCAGAACGGCCCCGAAAGACTCCTGGCTGGGGCTTGGGGATTACTTGGTGCTGATTGGATATACTCAAGGTGGGATGTGACGTGAACAGAAAGCAACAAAATAGCCGGCATTTTTAAAACTCAGCAGACGAGGGTTAGCTCATTCATATAGCTTCCTCCGCCATGTAAAAAAACTCACTAAATGGCCCGTGAATAAAATATCTTTTCCAGCGGATATCTTAGTTACAACATGATTGAGCTAGCAAAGCAGTTTTGTGTTGCTATGTGTGGTATTTATTCAGTTATGGGAAATCACGATGTCTAGAAAGCATCAGTGGCTGCAGCTGACAGGGACAGCTAACAGCAGGCTAACATCAGGACGTCATCTGTTAAAAGCCTCCCGTTGTCGGATACGACATGAAACTACTCCAGTTAGCTCAATCATGTTGTAACTAAGACATCCGCTGGAATTTTTTTTTTTTTTTCACAGGCCATTTAGTGAGTTATTACAGACACCGCTAAGGGCTATCAGCTAACGGCGTCCCTACGTCGCCCCGGTCAAAATGGTCGCACAATGATTACGTCACATCCAGAGCCCGTAACTTTACAGGAACCTTCCTCCTACTTCGCTCTCTCAGTGGAGACACGGCGGTTGAGAGGGCCGAGCAAGAGGACGTTCCTGTAGTAGTTCCTGCCCCCCAAATAGTACCAGAAACTTCTTCAGTGGAAACAGGCCTAATGCGCCTCTTTTGTTCTGTCAACATCACGTCATGAAAAACATTTACATATTCGATTACTGACATTTGTGAATTGATGCAGAATCATCCACGTCTACATTGCGATGCATCTAAGAATTGATGTTCGGGTTAATGTCAAACCGGTTTGAGAATGTTTACACGGGCCAAACCTTATCAATAGTGATTTAAACCAGAGGTTCCCAACTGGTGGAGCCACGGGGCCCAGTTTTCTCCTCAGTCATTAGTTCAAGGTCCACACAGTTTAATACATAAAGCGTCATATTTGGCCATGTTGTTGAGCTAGTTTACTGTCTCTCTCAAATAGATGTCAGTTATTCACTCGGTCTACAGCAGGGAACGTCAAAATAAAATCTCTGTGCCGAAAATTCACTGTACTTAAAAATAAAGTGTATTTTTTACAAACTCAACATGTTTGTGAGTCTCTTGCAGTCCATTCAGAATGGACCGCGACTCACTTTCGGACCATGACTCACCATTTGGGAACCACTGATTTATACTATCTCTCTAATAGTGGGTCTGTGGCGCCTGATGTTCTTAAAAAAGTGAGTAAGAAATCCAGATGTGTTTTAATTTGGTATTTACTTTACTAGAAATTAGTAATTTAGTGTGAGAGAAGAAAAAATAATTTGATCAGAATTTTCTCTCCATTACTGCCTTGTATCCAAGGTCCTTATCCATGTGTGTTTTCCTCATTATTACTGTAGTTAAGTTTAAAATCGTGTGTTTCCCAAGCAGCATGCACTTTTTTAGCATTACCCCTCCTCACATTCCCACACTCCCTCAAATCAGTGGGAAGTGGCCCAGAATAGCCACCGTCCAGGTCCACTGGAACAGTTACATGCCTGGTCCAGATGCCCCTCAGTAGAATAGTGAGTATTTTGTCATGTCTAGATTTTCCCATTTAGTTTTGATGATTTTAACTGTACCACAGCAAACCCTTCTCCCTAATCTACAGTATGCCAACGCCCAGCAGCGTGCCTGTGAGTGTCCACGGTCGTTTGAACAGTAGCTGCTTTGTCTCGCAACAGAAAACGCTGATACCGCGACTAACTGCTATTGTCCTGGAGTGTGCACACACACACACACACACACACACACACACACACACACACACACACATCCATCTATCCCACCCTCCACACACTGGCATAGTTAGGTCGCGAGAGGGAGAGATGCACAATGCATTCCAGAGATTAAATTTTCTGTTTTGCCCAGCAGGCCTCCAACACACACAATACCACACACACACACACACACACACACACACACACACAGTTTCTACTCTAACTCTTAATGTCTATTCTTCTATCATCCAGCTGTCCTATTTATTAACCGATGGCATCGAATTTATTCCAGTGTAATAACTTAATGCATATTTTATTAGTTGTAATGCCGTGAATGAAATCTTGCCCAGACATTTTCCGCCTCTCTCTAACAGTCGGGTTTCAAAGGAGAGTCTTAGTGTCACATGGTCTTAATGCTGTTTCGAAGAATTTCATTAGTATTGGTTTCAGCAGGATTTGAGTGTCACACGGTTTAAGTACCGTTTCATAGAATTCATTAGGTTTCAGACATGAGTCAAGTAGTCTCTGCATACATTAGGCACAGCAGCTTTGGGTTTGACACGTAGAGCAGCGACAGAAAACAAGACACAGACACTTTATCTATCCAGCTCTTATATGATCATTGTGTGGCTTCATGCGTCCTCATGATGATATTGATATGACTCCATTTATCAGCATCCTGCGGTTCAAACAGTTTGGTGATGTTGGGATTGAAGGTCATGAAGCTTTTACAGTTGTTTCTGTTGCTGGGGATACAAACTGTGAAATGGGAAAGTGCTTTAAAGATAATTTTGTAAATAATCAATGATCAACAGTTCAGTTGGCAATGTGTTTAAAGTCCTGATATGGTAACCATGCTAGGGCTGAAATTAACTAAAGAAAATGGTGGTTGACTGATGTTCTGCCTACTCTTCAACCAATCGATGGGGAAAACATTCTCCACATTTTCTCTGGATTAACTGAGTCAGCTACAGCGCACTGAAGGTCCTCTACCTGGTGGTGTTGTGCGTCCACCAAAGCTGTTTCTCCTGGGCCAGCACATAGATGGAATTCTTTGCAATGGGAGCACCTGGTATAGAGGAAGCAGTGGCTCAGAAGGTAGTCCACATGTCAAAGTATCCTTGGCAGGGTTGGAAATTAGCACCAGTCACCAGCCACATGCCGGTAAAATCTGCAAGTGGCTGCTTTACTCACCAGCCAAAAGAAGAGACAATCTGTTGAGCGGCTGCTAGACTTTGGAATCCACCAGCCGCAGTGACAGGTGGACAAAAAATTAATTTCCAATCCTGATCCTGGGGCAAGTTACTGAGCCCCAAATTGCTCCTGATGGCTGCACTGTTCGTGTGTGAGTGGGTGTGAATGGTTACTGAGCAGCAGGTGGCACCAAGTATGGTAGCCTCGGCCACCAGTGTGTGAATGTGTGTGTGAATGGGTGAATGTGACACGTAGTGTTAATGCCCTTTGAGTGGTTGGGAGTTAAAAAAAAGTGCTATACAAGTGCAGTCCATGTATTATATTTATACTATGCTACCGCTGCCATCAGCGTGACAAGGTCCTGATGGTCAGGGGTTGCCAAGAGTCGGAAAATGTCAGCACCATTGCTTTTGGGTAAAATGCTGCACTCGTCACTGTCATCCAGTGGTCCAATCACAGCAGAGGAGGGCTGGGACAAATACCACAAAGACCAATTGTCATGTCCTACATGTACATGTGTTGAACAACAGCAGCTATGATGGAGAAATGAACACTAGAGGTGTAAATCACAAGAGTTAAGATTTTATTTATTTTTTACAATATTTGCTGATACCAGAGAGGCTGCCCTGATATGATTTATTTCAATTCCTGCCATCGGTACGAGATGATATCAGTAAGAATCCTCACTGTCTTTCTTGGCAGCTTACCATTATCTGCAAGGCGCTAGGCCGCTAGCACTTTTTGAGTTTTTAGGAAGGAGGTGTGCTTGGATGGAAATGGTGATGCAGATGTGTCATGGGAATTTCAGAATCAAGGTGTATTTTAAAGATGGCGCTAAGTGTCAATGTTTTCACAAAGCATTGATCATCAAATAGATATATTGATCCAGACTGATGTCTCCTTATACCCTTAATTAATACTGCTGGCCACTTTCTTCCTACGTGCTTTAACCTCCCCTTCATCCAGAGCAAGTACTGTACCTTGTGCCGACATTTTTACTTCCGTCGATATTTCATACCTTAGCAACTAGACGCAACCAGTGCATCTCAGCTGAAAGAATGCTGTGCCTCTAAAGTGCTCTAGCACTTGCAGCTGGGCATTATCAGAAGGGCGCCTGCTGTTTTCAGTTGGGAAAAATCTGCTTTGGTGGACACATGACCTTAATGAGGTAACACCAGTGATTGTCTGACCAGTGAGAAAATGGTTGGAACAGAGCATATCCACCAACCAATCGACCAACCGAAGGTGTCAGCCCTAAATATGCTGATTGGGAAGAACTTCTCAGATCTTAATGTCGTGCCGACCACATGTCTGTGTGTGGCAGACATCCACTGGCTCTTAGGGGTTCAGTGCCTTGCTTGGAGGCACGCTGGCACAGACTCAGAAGTCCTGAAAGGTCACATTCTCAGATTCTCTGGGCGTTCAGAATGCAGCTACGCTGTGAGTGCGTGAATGTGGCACATATCTTTGACCAAGTATAGGAAAATACCGCAGATGTTTTCAGCTGTCCCAGGACCAGAAGAAAAATGCACTCTTTCATCCTCTTTCCTTCCACTTTCACCACGCTCCCTGCTCTGTCTGTAACTCTGTGTGTGTCTGTGTGTGTGTGTGTGTGTCTGCACAGTGTTAGATGGAAGCAGTGCTGACTAACTGAAAAGAAATGAACATTAATTATTTCATTCTTTCTCATCGTTTTTCCACCCGCTCTGCGTCTGACCTTCTGTCTGTCTGAAGGGCGCCGTTGTGTGTTTGCGTGCATGCACGTCGGTGCATGCTGTCTGCACGCACGGATGTGTGCGAAATGTCATTGTCATATTTGAGTGTGGAGGATTTTATGGCGAAGGCCCCCATCGGGCCTATGAAGGAATGTGTTGCCCAGAGACAGACGGAGAGACGGAGACAGAGAGGACGAGAATAATGGGACAGATGTAATGAAACAGAAGAAACAGAGATGCATTGATAGAGAGAGTTGAACAGGAACTTTATGAAGCTCTCGCTAGACCATACAAAACGAGTTTGTTCATGGGGTACTCATATTCTCGCAATCGCAAGCTTTAGAATGACATTTGAAACTTGACCACTGGAAACATTGTATAGTAGCTTTAAAGGGACAGTTCACCCCAAAATCAAAAGCACATATTTTTCCTGTTGTGTGTATCACTGTTCATCAATCTAGACTGTTAGGACAGGAACTATTTCTTTCCACCGAACTACACCTGCCAACAGTAGCACCACACAGAATGAAGCGTGCATCCACTGCTAGCTCACCTAGCACCACTGAGCTAGCTAACGTTACAGCTCAGTCGAGGAGGACGCCATTAATGTTTACAACTTGTGTTTCCACAAACATGAGCCTCTTGTCCATGAGTAGATGCACGCTTCATTCTGTGCAGTGATATGGTTGGCGGGTGTAGTTCAGCTGAAGGAAAATAGCCACGCATGAAACTGTTAACAACAAGATCTGTGGATTATCTTGAGTAACCAGGTCATGATTTCTATAAAGAGACATTGATGTTGAGTTTTTTCAAATGTGGTTTTGGCGCTTTGAGCTCCACAAGCTGAGTGACATCTAGTTCCATTATATTGGAGAGAAGGCAGACATCTGTACGGCTGATATCTCCAACACTCTGCAGCTCACACCAAAACAATCTAGACTGATAAATAGCACTGCAGGTAAGAGGAGAAATATGTGTTTTTGATATTAGGGTGAACTGTCCCTTTAATATTGTTTTCTCATCCAAATGTTAATGGTTGTGTTTGAATCTCTCCCATTGCTGCAGAAACGTGCCAAGGGCCAGTACCTGTTCTTTAAGGTGTGTGAGCACCTGAACCTAATGGAGAAAGACTACTTTGGACTCACATACGTGGACAACCATGAACAGAAGGTTTGCATTCACACACACACACACACACACACACACACACACACACATACACAGGAAGTACAAAATAATTCAGTCATGCACACACATATAGAGACTCCAGACACTGATGTCTGTATTGTGTCTCATGAGACTGTTTAATGATAGAGGTTAAGTGTCTTCCTGCTCTGTGTCTCACTACCTCCAGTGTTGGTTGGATCCCACCAAGGAAATCAAGAGACAGATACGCAGTAAGTTTTTTGCTTCCTTGACGTTTTCATCCATCCATCTCTGTCTCCTTCTGCCTGCCTCTGCAAGATGTTTCATATGATAGGGGTCAGAAGTTAATGAATTAAATATAAATACTGAATTAATAAAAGAGTTCAAGTATCCCCATATGAAAGGAAAAACAAACAGCATCACAATTAAGTCCAACAAAGCCAGAGACATTCGAAACCAAACGACAGCAGTCTTGCCAGAGCTGGCAGCGTGGAGGAGGTTACCACAGTGTGATCACTCTGCTTCATTATTAATCAATCCCTTTATTAACTCTTGGTAATTTATAAATGCAGGGCGAGGTGCGGCATCTCACCTTCTGTTGATAGACAGCTACCAAGTATGTGGAGCGACCAGGCATAGTTAAGGCTTTGTCTTATTTTTGAATGTGTGCATTTGCCCATTACGATTAAAAAGGTATCTGTCATTTGTGATGACGTCCATAATACGCATGTTGGACATCAGAACAGAACACAGTGTTTGTTTTAACTCTAGCTGACTTTTCTTCAAGAAAGGTTTTCTTATTTTCTTTTGCTGTTTTTTCCTTGCTTCTGCTTTTTTCAGTTTAAGTCAAAACAGACTTTAAGACACAGCCTACAGCTTGGAGTTGCACTTTTAAGAGAAAGGCTTAGTAAAACATATCATTTTGGCTCATAAAGTGTTATTTTAGAGTTAGTATGTGTGAGGTAGTTGGGTGTGTGCAGATTGTGTGAGGCTCTGTGTGTAAACACCACAGAGTGTGTGGTGAACATGCATGCCTGTGTTTCTGTGGCTGTGTTGCTGTGTACGCCTGTGGTTCATGGGTGAGTGGTATGCAACTGGCCGCATGTGTTCATTTGTGTACATTTTTCTATGTGTGTGTGTGAATGCTTATAGCGAGACGGAGACTGTATCATGTGAGTTGGATACTTATGTCTGTGTATGTACAGACAGAGCAGCACACAAATGACAGATTCGACACCATTCTGCTCTGAACTACCATCAGTGGACACTCGTCACCACATACCGGGCTGGGACCTAAACATTTGGCACTAAAAGATTTTTATGGGTCCTTGAATCCTTTATGAAGCTCAAAAATGCTGCATGTGATGTGCAACCTGGAACCTATTTTCAGTTCAGTCGTACTCAAGTTCGTTTGTTAGGCTGCTTTCACACCTGCCCTGTTTGGTTTGGTTCAATCAAACTTGTCCCCTCAGTGCGGTTCATTTGTGCAGGTGTGAACACAGCAAAACAACCACACCGAGACCTTCTTGAAGAGGTGGTCTCAGTCCGGTTCCAAAGGAACTCTGGTGCGGTTGGTTTGTGGTGAGAAGGTGTTCCGACCTGGATGTGAAGCAACTGCAGTCACATGACACATTGTTTGGGTTAAACATGAGCATGTTACAGTCCTGGAGGATTATTAATGTGCACCTCCTCCTGTACTGCCTTAATATGCACATTCAGCACATCCAATGCATCAAAACATTGTTTTCTAGTTGGAGCCGCGCCTCGTTTTCAAACTGTATGGTTTGACTAAAATGAACAATGACAGCAATATAGTCCACGATGAGCAGCGCTAAAATCAACCTGCGTAGTTGTCCCTCCATTGTGACATTAGAAAGTGTCACATTAATCTTGCAAGTGTACTCTTCTTCAACGTTTGCTTTACTTCCTGGATTTTTCCCACATGGAAATTCTGACCAATCAATAGCAGCTTTCTCACACAAGGCATTTGATCTGGTCCTCTTGTAAATGCTGCCGTGAGAACACCAACCAACTCTAGGCAATTATACAACTTTGGAACAACATGAGTCCCTGATTCAGACCAAAGCACCAACTCTGGTTTAGTTGAAATAAACCCTTAATTCACTCAGTTACATGTGAAAGTATTCTGCCTCTATACACACTAAAATTACCATTTATTTAAATGGAGTCTGGTGGGTTGGTTGATGGTGTTTTCGGGGCTGTTTCTGGTTTCATAAAAAGGATCTTACTCTTAAAACAAAAAGGTCTATCTCTGAAGAAATCCTTTCCATAATGTTGACAGACACTTCAACAATCTGAGCCTGTCAGTTTCAAACAACAAGCACCTTTATTGGACGGAAATTGATGATGCATAATTGCCCCAACTGGTTACATCACAGCCTGTTTGCCCGCTGCCAGCTGCAGCCCTCTTGCTCAATGCTGTGCCATTTTCAAAAAATAATGTTCCTATTAGTCACTTTCCAAAAACATTGGAAAATAAGATCCAGGTTGAAAAATGCTGAAGTTACCCTTTAATCTGAGTTTGTAGTAAGTTACCTTGGATGTTTATTGACGGCACAAACATGCCCCAAGTGGTTACATTGCAGCCTGTTTCATCAGTGCCGGCTGCTCCCTCGCGCTCAACACTGGAATAATACCAAAAATTGTTGCTCCTGACACTTAGACACAAAAACACAGTATATGGTCCAGGTTGAAACATGCCAAAGTTACTCCTTTAAAACCCTCCCTAGACCAAACTGTGATAGAAAGATCTAAAACAGAGCTGTTGCAGTCTCCACCTGCAGAGGAGGACTTTATTGACGTGGGCAACAACATCGCAAAAATGTACAAAGTGTCAGTCTATAGATTTCCTCTGGGCTTTTGTTCAGCTGTGTGGGTATGAAGGTTCTGTCTAGACTCCTGCCCACAATGCAGCTCAGTATGAGCAGAGCTGTGTGGGTGTGTCTGTGGCATCGAGCCCGAGGTTGGAATATGAAACAGAGACAAATCATATAAAAATTAGGCAGATATGCATACAGGGGAGATTAAAGAAAAACCTGATATAAAGTTGGGAAAATGTGACAGCACTTTAGAGAAAAAGAAAAAACAAGAGGGCAAACTTTACTCCAAGAAGCTCAAGTATCAGTTTTCAGAATGAGACTGAGAGCCAATAAAAATGAAACTTGAACCCAAAAATCATAACAAGCGCTGCGGTTAAATTCACTCTAACAAATAGCACAAAAAATCTGCCCAGTTAAATGTTTATTCGCCCAAGTGAGCCCCTTCTTAGATGTCAGTGTGATAGATAATGAGAGCAAGATTTCACCTCACCCTGGGAGTCAGGCTTAATGTCACTGGAAGCCAAGCAGAGAGGCCGAGGGGTCTGGACCCAGGCCAGTCAGTAGACCTCTGCAGTGCGTGTGGCTGTTGTTAATGTTTAACAGCAGCAGCAGCAGCAGCAGCACACATGTTCTCTCCACAATCAAACTAACCTTTATAGTGTCTGTTGTCTCACTGTGCTCACTCTCTCAGTGCACTGTCACGGTACATTTGCAGCCAATTTGGTTTTTACGATAAGAGCAAACAGCACCTGCATATGCTTAAGTAGAGCGTCATCAGGGCAAGAATATTTTATAATTTGTGGTCATATTGCTACTTTTTCATGAGTCACTAATTTACTTAAACTACATATTGTTATATAATGTCGAAAAATATCCTTTAAAGGAACAGAGTGGTGCAGGAAAGAGTCCTTAAAGGGAAATTTCGGTTTATTTCAACCTGTCTCCTATCGTCCTAAATTTGGTTCAAGTGACTAGTGACATACAGATAATAGTTAGCGTGTTAGCCGTTAGCCTAGATACAGCCGTAGCGTCAGACCTGTTAAAACGTAAGTGAACGGGCAACCTTCAAGTGCAAAGTTAGTCCAGTAAACAAGCTTTTTCTCCACAAAGACCGCCTCATATCGTTAGGATAAATGTCAGAGAACATATAGAAAACCACATGTAAACGTGTTGTCTTACCTTACCGGTGTGCTGCCATGTTTGTTTACCATCTAGCTCTGCTTTCCAAAGCGCGGCCGAAATATCGCGAGAACAAGCAGCGATCTCATACCGTGCCTGAACAAACAGCAACAGCAGGAAGGCAGAACTGGACGGTTGCCTGAATGGAGGAGTAGGAGGAGAGAGAGAGAGAGAGAGAGGCGCAACAGGTAGAGGACGAGAGAGGAGGAATGGCTGCTGCAAGGCTGCTTAGCTCTGGAGATTGGTGGTGTACCTGTGAATGCTGTGCCCCAGTGCCCACAGAAGAGGAATGCCTCTGTTGCAAGGAATGGGACCGGTTGCAGCCTTATTTTCAAGGCCTGGATGTGACCGAGGACGAGACACCTCCACCTGGAGTAGTATCCATCTGGGCTTTATCTAGAGCTCGCCAGATATATTTCGGCTGCGCTTTGGAAAGCAGCGCTAAATGGTAAACAAACATGGCAGCACACCGGTAAGGTAAGACAACACGTTTACATGTGGTTTTCTATATGTTCTCTGACATTTATCCAAATGATATGAGGCGGTCTTTGGATTTTTTTGGACGATAGGAGACAGGTTGAAATAAACCGAAATTTCCCTTTAAACCAGGAAATGAGTTTTCTTGTCTCAAAGTCAGTGGTGTTTTTTTGAATGAGTTTTTGGTTAGCTGCCTGAAACAAGGTCTGTGGCGAACACAAGCTAATGATGGTTTCATGTTTTGTTCGACAACATAAAATCTGTCAGTTATTACCTCACTCGTGAATTTTGACGGCAGCTGCTAACATGTGGCTAAGAGATACTACAGAGGTTAGTTCACGCCGAACACGACTTTACAGTAGGGTTGGGTCGGTTCTCGGTAATACCAATTCAGAGCTAGAGGGTCTACTGCAGCCTGGAGTTTGTGTAACAGTGACGGGGAGTCGATAATGGCGGACAATTTAGTCTTGAAGAAATCAAAGAATGTGCCAATATGGCAACACTTTGGCTTTGAGCCAGACGAAGGAGGCAACCCTTGTTTGCACTGATTGAGTAAGCTAAACCTGCAAATTAATTTGTAAGGGATAAAAGAAACAACGCGTTAGGGAGCGATCACACAGATGAAACGCTAGAAACGTGACGCCAGTAAAACCATTGTTTTCCTATCATACGGCGCATCCGACCGGCGTTCAAGTGTCTTTTTAGACGGGCGTTTTTCCGGCGTCTTTTTAGACGCACGTTTTTGTAGACGCTCCTTTTAGACGCTGAAAAGTTTGCATTGAATAAGTGCTTGCAGCGTTTCAAGCGTCTTTGAAGCATCCTAGGCGTCTCTAGCGTCTCATTTCTGTGTGATCGCCCCCTTACTGTCACTCTGTTGTCCTATGGTCGTTTTTTATTTTAAATGAGTCAATTGCGCCCCCAAGTGGCGAAAATACGGTATTACCGACTTGATGCAGTTTTTCACAAAAACCTGACCGTTTTTTTTCTCATACCGACCCAACCCTACTTTACAGTGTCTGTGTGGTGGTGACGTGGAAGTCACGTAGTCGTGGTTTGGTTCGTTAGTCAGCTTTTTACTCCTCCTCCTGTATTTATGCTTCAAAATAATTAACCCTTTAAACACAGTTGTCTCGTGAACGATTGCGGGGGATGATTGTTTGCATGAACCTGTTTTAATCGATCTAAGATAAATACCATAATAGCTAGAGCATTCATTGTTTTTGTCATAGATTTTTTTGGAGGGGCTTTTTGCCTTTATCTAATGGGACAGCTTTAGTGTGAAAGGGCCATGGGTTGAAACCTAGCCTGCGGCCGCTCTACCAGGTGAGCTAGTGGGTGCCTTGCATTCATGCTTTTTGCAGCAGAGGGCTAAATGTCTTGCTTCCACGTCATCATGTTTTATGCGTCACCTTACTTCGTATGTGGCACAAAACCATGTGGAAACATGAGGTTGCACCTGAGGATTCAATGACGAAACTATCAAAACATATCTGCAGTCTGCTCATAAAAATGAACACACCTCAAAAACTAGATAATGTACACACTTCAGATAACTTAAGGAGTGTTAAAAAATATTTTGTTGATGTTTCTACATATAGAAATCAATATGTTTTGTGTCTTTATTTTGTAAAATTGAATGAATTTTACTTTATTTTTTTTAATGGCACAATTTAAAGACAAGGAGCAGTTTCTGGTGTGTCGACCTGTTGTTTTATTTTTGTATTTGTGCACTTTTTATCATTTTTGGATGTGCATGCTGTTCTTTGAGTCTTCAGTTATATACTTGCATAACCTTTTAGCTAAGGTTGTGCAGATTTTGGGGGATATGAAGCACTTGAAGAAGCTCTAAGAAATGACATCACAATAAGCAAAGATACCAGTGTAGACACGGGCAGGTCATTTCTAGTGCGGCGCTCAAAACGTGGTGTTCATGTGCTAAAAACACATGTATGTATCCTACATTGTATTTGCCTCAGAGCTTGTTTTCAGCAATAATCCGAAATCCAACAGAAAAATCAGAGCTTTTTGTTTAGGGAACCAGAGCAATGCTAACTTGCAAAATATGTCATTCCTGCGACACACTATAAGTCACCCGAAAAGACTGTGGGAGAGACATACGGACTGGAGGGGGAGTTGTTGTCTGGAATTGTAGTCGACGTAGGGGGCTGAAGTAGAGCATGTGTATATGTATCAGAATGTGTATATTCTGTGCGTTATGGGGCGGATTGATGGGTGGCGCGTGGTCGTGTAGAAAGATGAAATGGTCACAAGAGACTCCTAAAGCACTTAAAGCTGCCAAAAACACACACACACTCAGTCTTACTCCCACACACACATCTCATACAGTAACACACATCCATACAAACAGGCTATGGAACAGCGCTATCTGCATTTAAGATTTTCCATTTCTGTATATTAAGTTACAAAAATTAAATCTGTGGAAAGAATTAGACAAAACACTGTGTCGTCATAAAACGGAAAATGAATATTTCACCTTGTTTTGACCTCACGTGTTGCGTCTTGCACAGATAGAGAGCGTCATTGTTGAGCTTCCTCATGTCATTTCAGTGTCCGTCGCTCTTCCTGCTCCTCTGGGATACAGCTGTGAAGGCTCTGTGTCTGCACGTCTGTGGTTGTGTATGTGCTGTGTGTGTGTGTGTGCTCGTCACATGTGTGCATACGTAGGACTTGTGTGTGACCTTGGAGGAGGAAATGGTTCTTGATGTGATGTCAGCTTTTCCCGGATGGAATTTTCCAGACGACGTGATCTCCATCTTATATTGAGTGTGTGTGTGTGTGTGTGTGTGTGTGTGTGTGTGTTGCTGGGTGGAGCCATGCAGTAGAGAAGGTGGCAGGCAGGGCAGTATGGCCTGTGGGGATGAGAATAGGAAGTCGGAGCCAAGTGAAGATTGATACGAAACCCTGTGATGACACAGTGATGGAGATGTTATGGTGATGTTGCGTGCCTTTGTTTCTGATGACAAGATTACAGTTTGGTATTTGAATGAGGTTATGCAATACCAGATCTGCCGCTGTATTTGTTTGTATGTATTTATGCATGTGTGCGTGATGTACCAGGCTTAGAACAGTCCGAAATCTGTTCTGCATTAGCTGCCCTCACTCACACCCACTTCTCCCTCTCTGTCACTGAAACACACATACATTTGGGTCAGACGGGCAGAGGGGTGGATGGTAGTGCATAGACATAAAGACGACACTGATCATAACGCTGTGACTCCCATTTTAGATTCTCATATGTCCATAATCCCCTGTGCTTGTCATACATACATATGTAATGTTATTGTGCTGAAACTCTCTCTGAATAATAATCTCTCTTCCTCCAGGCAACAACTGGCAGTTTGCATTCAACGTCAAGTTCTACCCTCCCGACCCCTCACTGCTCACTGAAGACATTACCAGGTACACACACACACACACACACACACACACAATCTTGTACTACTTGTAGGTTTCGTTATACTGTCTACTGACTGACTGTCTTTCAGTGGTAAGTCGTCTTCGCTGGTGCTTTGCTGTAGTTTGCTCTGCACAATAAAACGATCCATTGTCCCACTCACGGCTTTCTCCTTTTAAATGTTTTCAGCCCTATCACTGGCTGCCAATCAGGGCATTTTATGTGACACACACTTAAAATTTCCACGTGTGAATGGTAACAAATCGCTCCCCCATTAAGGTTTTTTTAATTAAATTACATATTATAGCCAGAGTTTGCCTCTTTATTAGGAAATGGGTGCACACAACATACTGATACAGTCAATTAGAAATGAATTCATAACTTTTTGTACAGGCCCAGTTGAATATTGCCATAATAATGTGTGGTTATCACACCATTTGAGAAGCGCTGCCCTAACCTAATCGTAGCCTGAACCCTGTAAACCAAGTCTTAACCCTCAAACAGGCCTTTGAAGAAGTAAGGACTGGCAAAAATTTCCCCACTCTCCAAAAACGGCCTCACGCTGTTGGTTAAAAACTTGTCTTCTGTCCTAACGATGTAGCAAGTACAAGTACACACACACACACACACACACACACACACGTTAGAGATATACCGATGGTTACCAAGTGGGGGCAAAAAAACGTAAATAAACTTTGACATGATATATTTTCCACTTTTCGGGTACTTCTAGAGTGTTTGTTAGCAAACGGTTAATTTCTATGAACAGATATCTGCATACAGAATCTGTAGGCAACAGGACAAGATCTTGCTATCGTAAGCATTCTGGTTTCCATTTGTGGTCTGAGTGGTATTGACCTGTCACGTTTGAACAGCAGGTAAACAGTCAGTGTAGGGAAGCAGAACGCATTTGCAGAAATGCAATCTTTTAACCCATCAACTATTGTTGGAGTAGCTTTTTAAACTTTATCTGCAAATATAGAGAGTAGCCAAAATTACCACCACACGAAAGAGGAAGTTTTTGCCCAGATATGACTCAGCAGTGGATCTCTCAGAATATTGGCCGTTGCCCCCAGAAGCTTTATCGTCGTCAGAGCCGATGGGTTCTGAGACTGGCAAACAGCTGTCTGTTCACAACTTCAGCAGACAGAATAGCATTTATTTGGAGTTAACGAGGTGGTTGTGACTCAGGAGGTAGACTGTGTCGCACACTCATTGACCTATGGCTAAGCCACGCCCCCTCCACTCACTCAGACAAACTGTCAACATTCAGTGAGCGGCGCTATGGCAGGTGTCACAGTACACGGCATTTCACAGGAGGCAATTGATGATTTTTGGAGACATAACGATCAGATGTCATTGAGAAGTAACCAAAAGGGCCTAAACTACGCATTGGAGGGATATATTCATCATTTTATTGTTGAGAAGGTCGATGAAAAGCTTAAATTACAAGCCAAAATTTACAGGTCACAGTGTACGCTTGTGAACCGCATCTGGTTGCCGTCACCATCAAAGACAACAAGTTAAAGTGCCACTGAAGTTAAGGTTTTTGGCTCAGAATATGAGAAAAGGATAACGGCCTTTTTACCATCTTTACCAAGAGTGTCTCTCCGTTAGTTTGGTGCTACAGTATTTACACTGAATCATTCAGCATAACGTTTGCCAACCTTTGTTATCTCTGCCATTACAGATAAGTTAATGAAGCTAAGCTCCAGAAGTTAACGTTAGCTTAACTAGAGCCCTTTGGACAACAGCTAACAATGATGTACGATCACCAAAGTACAAAACTAGAACAAAATAGGCTAATGAACTCCCAGCAAACAAGGTGACATGATGAACAACGCAGCTAGGAGCTAACGTTAGGCTAACTTTAGCTAACGTTAGCTAGAGATGTTAAAGATAACTTTATATTTCTTTCCAGCAAAGTGACAATATGTTGCCTCAAACACAATGTTGACTTACCTTAGAACAGATGTAGACATCATTGTTAATCTTATTCACGTTGAGTTGATGTTGTGGTCTAACGTTACCACACAACTTTATCCAAAGGAGACACTTTTCTCG